CGGTCACGGGGGTGGGGTCTCAGGTGTCAGGGCGGGGTCTCAGTGTGGGGAAGAGAAGTCCGCCGGTCATGGGGGTGTGGTCGGGCAAGCTCACCTTGGCCTTGCGCAGCACGTGGCCTCTGCAGGGGGAGCTGCCAGTGGAGGCTGCGGGTGGGCGTGCCCTCAGGGCGCTGTTGACGGGCATGGAGCCCTCAGCGTCACTGGTGTCACAGCTGGAGATGGGCGAGTTCTCCAGTGTCCGATGCCGGAACCCAGGAGACTGTGGATGGAGCCAGGTCAGTGAGGCGGGGCTTCCGGTGGGAACACAGCTCATGTGGAAGCTGGAGTGGGCTTGGGACACTGGCAGCACCACACTGAGCATGTGGTCAGTGCCCAGTCCTTGAATCTGCTGCCATGCCCAGCCCAGAAAGGTACACTGAGGCTAGGCGCTGGTGGCAGCAGGGGGAACAGTAAGCTGCCAGCATTAGCTCTGGGACCGGTCACCCCAAGCTTGGCACCCAGGCTCAGAGGACCCATTCACTCTGGGGGCGGCCCCAGCAGGGTCTACACCCATCTCTGAGGCATTGCACGGAGCCCAGTGTCCACTCAGGGCCCGTCCACAGCCCGTCCTCATGGAGCGGACAAGGGCCACTGTGCCGTGGACACCAGTGTCGAGTGTGGCTCGGCGCATCACTTGAGACCAGAAAAGCCACTGGTCATCATGGCAGGCATGTGGGGGACATTTGCTGACGCTGGACCCCCGGGGTCGGCTCTCACCTGCGTCCTTGGAGTTGTTAGTAACAGAGGGCAATGACGAAGGGGAGGGTGCACTAGGGAAGTCAGTATGGGTGGGGACAGAGGGGGACAGAACAGTGGCTTGGAGAGGCCAGCGGGTGTGAGGGGGTGGGTGCCCGGGGCGACACAAGCTGTGGTCCAGCCAAATGCTCAGCATGTGGGTGACATCGACCCCATCTAGCCAGCTGCCCTCACACCAGGACCTGGGCACCTCAGACTGCCCTCCGGAGCTAGGAGGTGGCGTCCACCCACAGGCCCCGCATACAAGGGGGCTGGTGATGGCAGCTCTGAGAGGCTGGCTAGCCAGCCAGACACCTGCTGCCACATTGAGGCCCAGCTGGCAGGCGCTCCACAGGGCACCGTGTTCAACCACGCGGGCGGCGGGCCTTTCTCCAGGGCACCTCTGGGTGGCACTCCTCTGCAGCCTCCTACTTGGCCCCAAGGGGCCCACCCATCTGTGGACCATCAGAAGGGACTCCCGGCCATCCATCCATCTGGGCTTGTTCCAGTGGAGGAGAGAACTGGCCCTGCCCCCCTCTTTCATAGAGAGTGCCCCACTGACTGGGACCCAGGCCCGGCGCATACCTGTGGGCTGGAGGTCCCCGACTTGGGCTCGATGGCCAGCCCCAGGGTGATGCCCCCGGCCAGGGCCTTGCGCAGGCTCTCCTTCACCTCAGTCAGCTCCAGCTCCAGGCTCACGCGCTCGGCCTCCTTCTGCCTGCAGTCCTCCTCCAGCTGCTTCAGCTTCTCCTCCAGGCTGGCCTGCGTCCTCCTGCCTGCACAGAACGCCACATGGAGCTGGCCCCGCAGCAGTGCCCCCGCCAGCCCCTTCCCTTGGTGGGCGGCGGGGCTGGGATCCTCAGGGACGAGCCCTAGGCCTCAGTGGCACGTGGAGCACCTGCGTCCCCAGGGTCTCGCGCACGCACAGCTGGGGGGTCTGTCTGCTGTGCTCACCCCTCACTCGCTGCTCTGCCCAGACCCCTACTGGCTGAACCCATGGCCAGCCAACCCAGCAGCCACGGAATCGAGGCCCGGCCGGCGCCTTCGGGATCTGAAACTGGCTCTCCTTTCTTGTTCCTGCTTTCTCTTCTGTTGAGGCTGTGCTGTATCACTCTGCTACTGTCGCTAGGGCTGTGTGCTTTATGCATGCTTTCCTGTGCATGCAATCCAGGGTAGGTAAATCTACAGGCAGTAGCTGGATTAATGAATGGCTGGGGGGGAGGGGCGGGGGCTGGGGGGAAAGGGGGAGGGACAGCAATGAGGACGAGGAAGAAGACAATGCTCTGAAGTGGACCGTGGTGGTGACTGCGCAGCTCCGGCTAACAGGATTGAACTGTATGATACATGAACTATGTGCTCACGAGCCTTTACAAAAAGAGAGACTACAGTTGAGGGAACCCTGTGGACAGGGACTCCCCACTCCCCGGCTGGAGCAGTTATACGCTTGGTGGCTTTGTGCTTTTCTGGTGACCACTAAGCATGTGGGTGTGCAGAGGGTGAGGCGCTGGGCTGCCCACAGCAAGGTCGGGGATTCAAACCAGCAGCCTCCTGGGAGAAAGGCCAGGCCTGCTGCTCCCATGCAGGTTGGCAGCCAGGCAGACCCGCGGGCAGTTCTACTCTGTCCTGCAGGGCAGCCGTGAGCTGGAGACCACAGGATGGCCCTTCACAACAGATACAGTTATACATCTAGAATGTTATGTTTAGATAGCATAGACGTATATGGCTTACGTAGACGTAAGGGAGCCCTCGTGGCATAGTGGTTCTGCGTTGGGCTACCAAGGATCAGGTCAGCAGTTGTAAACCACCAGCCGGCCCTCGGGAGGGGGAGGAGGCTTTCTATCCAGTGGAGAGTTTCGGTCTCGGAAGCCCAAAGGGGCAGTTCTACCCTGTCCTATAGGGTTGCTGTGTGAGTTTTTATGTATATAGCTTATATAGTGTATACAGCTTATAACTAGCTCCATACCCAGCTTACACGTGCAGAGCTTACGTATGGAAATAACCCCAAGTCAGTGCAGCTGCACAGCGGCCCTTTTGGTAGCACTGTAGGCTGCGGACTGAGCTGCCAACCACAAGGTCCGAGTTCTAAGCTCGCAGTGGCTCCGTGGGAGGTCCACGTGGGAGGTCCACGTGGGAGGTCCACGACGCTGTCTGCTCCTGCAAAGCTGTGAAGTCCAGGGACCCTGGGGCAGTTCTACCCTGTCCTACGGGGCTCCTGGGGGAGAGGACGTGTCGGGTTCATGGGGTGAGGTGGGGCTGGAGGGTCCTGGGATTTCCCATGAGCCTCTAGGGATGGCGTGCCCAGCACAGTCCCTCACGCACATGGTGACATACCCACACACCCGCGCCTGGGCCATCGATGGGTCACAACACTGCACTGTCCCAGGGGTTGCTGGTGGCCACCTTGTCCCCAGAACCATGACAAAGGTCCAGCAGTCCTGGGGTCAGCGGTGGGCTCCTGACTCAGCCTAAGCCCCTTGGACCTACTGCCCCCACCCCCCACCCCCACCTCCGGCCAGGCTCCTTTCACTCTCCCTGTGTTGGGACCTCTCCTCGGGACCAGCCTGACTCTGGGGGGGCTACACAGCCAGGCCAGCCCCCCACCCCCTGCACCTGTGTTCACTTCCAGGGCCGCGCGCAGGGCCCTCCGCTCCTGGCGCAGCTGCGCGAGCCGGGTGCGCAGCGCCTCCTTCCGCGCCAGCAGCTCTCCCTCCTGGCTCTGCAGCCGCTGGGCGTCCGCCTCCACGCGGCTCTTGCCGTATCTGTACTGGTCGGCACCTGGACGAGGAACCACGGCAGACGTGCACCGTGAGGCTCCCGGCAGGTGCACAGAGTCCTCACACCCCCGTCTCGGGCCAGTTCCCGGGCAGCGCACTCGGACAGGAGTGTGTGTGTGTGTGGGGGGTTAGGCTGGAGGGCAGTGGAGGGGAATGCTACAGGTGACCAGCGCCCAGCCTTTAGTTATAGATGCAAAAGGAGTTCGGACGCCGCTGGACAA